CTTCAATGTCCTATGGTTCACTATGAGCAATATTCAGAAATCCATCGGAATATTTTGGTTTTTGTCCATCTGAATATTTAATTATTGTTTTTTGGTTTGCTGTCAAGGCCGTGCACAACATGAACGAAAAGCATGAGTGAAAGTCCTTTTGCTTTCATCTTCTGTTCGCTCATATGTCATCAATTCTTCAAGAATATCGAATGAACAATAAAAGCTCTTTACTTTCTCAACACCATCCAATCCTTCTTATCTCCAATCCACATTATTGGCTTATCCCATCTTATCTGTTTAGATCCCTTCATTCATGCGCCCATAAACTCTTAATCCGATAATTCTATATATCCTAGATATTTGATAGATACAAGTATTTTTTCACTTTTCGTCACAAGTTTAATCCCGCCTCGTCGGCGCTCGAAGTCGAAGTCCATTGTTTTGAGCAAATGGATCTGACAATAACTAATTTAATTTCTTATTGCTCACTATTCCATAGCTTCCGAGACGACTGGTACTTTTTTCATTCCAAAACGCCTTTCAATTAAAGTCGTCAAAACGAGAACTTCACTGTATTCCATCACAGCTTATGTCAAACATAGGGAATCATTTCGGTCCAGAGCAAAAATCAGTATTTTACAATGCATTTCATCTGAACTGTTAAAAGTGGGCATGATAACAGTTAAAACTTTAATAAATGATAATCATGATAATAAGTTTATTTCATTGCACGTCAACATTCACCACGTATAAGAAAACTGAACATCCGAATCAATCAATCAATTCCCATCAGTAAATCTTTATTGTGAACACAACTTTCCGTTTATCCAAACACGTTTCGGCTGCCAATTTGGACAATGCGCCGAGAATAACAGTGGTTCCGCATCTGGTACAGCCTTTGTATCGACCAATAGCTTCACATCAACACCGTCCTCATCTGGCAATCGGTAAACTTTCAGCTGAAAACTGTTGTTGTTTGATGGAATAAAAGGAATATTTGTGGTACATCGAGAAAAGAGATCAGGAAAATTTGAGTTAAATTTAAAAACTTGAACCTTTCCGGGAAGGGTAATTGCGCGGTTATTATGCCACGCTTTTACTGGATAATCGAATACCTTTCTATTGCAATCGACAGGTAAGACAAATCTCTGAAAGGACGACTGCTGTTAAGTTAAACAAGGCAGATCACTTTGACAAATCAGTAGATCATTGGATTCAACATCTTTATCGCAATCTTAAAACTCCATGCCAAAAGACTCAATTGACATGATGACTCTAATGAAGAGCTGATATCATTTCGCATAATCTCTACTTGTGGGTTATCAATCACCTTGAAATACATCCACTGAACGAAGCGTTATGAGCTTGAGGTCTAAATCTCATGAACGAATGAAATTTGACTCATCGTCAGATACAATCAACAATAAACGGTAGAACCTTCATTTGACATGCGTCAGGCGAATCAGTTCGATGCACTGGGCAGAAGGGTATACTTTGTGCGGCACTCATGTCCACCATTCCACTACTTTCATGGTCAGTCCGCTAAAAGTGTGTGCAATTAATCACTTGTAACTAATAGAGCAATTGAAAAATGCGAATGAATACATGACATGACAAGCCTCACTTCGAGTATTCAACCGAATGCATTCGCAATGGCAGAATGTTGCATTTTTACGATTGGGGCTGATCGTTTAGATATTAAATTTGGTAACATGAACACACAAACACCGCAGGGTTGCCCTTACTGCACTATGTAACTCTCAAAAAATTTCATCACTCAACCGGCATTTCGCCGCACATCGTCGCTGTCAAAACTCTATCAAATGATAACAAAGTAAAGTGCCTTCCTTTAAATAGTATGTTGAAGATATTTCAAAATTGTATGCAAAATGCAAATCCAAAACGTTCTTAAAGAGGAAATCTGATGAAGATTGGATCGTATTTAAATTCGTTGTTAGATATAACGCAAAGCAAATTTTGCATTGCATTCAATCACTCATGGAGTGCAGACTGATCGGATCGGAAATAAATTCAACTGGCTAGAACATGAAATCAAAAACGGCAAATGGTAGATAGTTGTTTCCTACTTTAGATCGTATGGTGATTCTTTTCGGTGTTGATGGTCCTCGCTGAGTACGCGGTTTTAATTGTGCACCAGCTATTGGTGAAGCCGCCTCCGTTGCCGTTTCACCCTTAAAGTTCGATTTTGTTAAACTATCCCCAGTCAGGCAAGCAATCCATCCAGTCCATCCAGTTCAATGAGCATTAAAAATATCTTCGTGAATGAAGCGAATTGGCAGAAATTACCCGTCGAGTCTTGAAAATATTTCTGTACAATCCATTTTTAG